GTCACAAAAAAGATATTCGGGTCCAAGTATGTGACAACAAATATATTTTTTAAGGAACTTGTGACAATGCAAGCAAGCATAAATAGAATGTGTACAAGCACAGACGAGAAAAAGAAAAAGATGGCAAAGTCGATGAAAGAAAAATACGACAAATATTGGGACAAGATTGAGAACATGAACTTCATGCTTCACATTGCTATCGTTTTAGATCCTCGCAACAAGATGTGTTATTTGGAGTATTTCTTGGAGTTGATTTATGGTAAGAATTCTACCAAAACAAAAACAATTTTGGAGCATGTCAACAAAACACTAGAGGACTTGTTTCAACACTTCAAGAACAAGACGGAGAGAGAAAGATGTGAAAAGACAAGATGTGCATCGTCTTCTACACCTAGTTATTTTGATTTTGGGCATGGAGTTGATATGGAAGACGATTTTGAAAGGTTTATGGAACAATGTGGGCATGGGGTTAATAAAACAGAGCTTGAGATTTATTTATCAGATGGGATGGAAAAATGGGCGGAGCATTTCCAGATTTTGGGGTGGTGGAAATCTAATTCAACAAAGTTTCCTATACTTTCTGAAGTGGTGAAACTTGTTTTAGGAATGCCAATCTCCACAGTTGCATCAGAGTCGGCACTTAGTATTGGTGGGAGGGTGAAAGATGGAAGTAGAGCTCCCTTACACATGTGACTACCGAAGCTCTGATTTCCGCACAAGATTGGATACGTGACACCCCAATTGATATCCAATTTAAAAATATGACGACTTTATATATGGAAGAGATGTGAGAGAAGTTGGTGCCAATAGAAACCGATAAATATTTTACTATTTTTTTTTTACATAATTATAAGTTTGTAATTATATATGTTTATAATTAATTAATTACATACTATTGTTTTGTGTTTGTAGAGGAATTGGGGTGTGGTCAAGGGAGTTGCATGGATAAGGATTTTACTTGAATTTTAAAGGTTTATAACTTAATTATTATAATTTTATACTTTCACACAAGTTTATTCCTCAATAATCATTGATCAATACTAATGTTTTTTGGTTTGTAGATGAATGGGGAAGTGGTGAAGAAATATACATGGATATGGATTGAAGATTCATGTTTGCGTGTTTTGGACTTTTGGTTGTAATCGACTATTTGACTATTTTGGACTTTGTGTTTTAGTAATTGTGTGTTAATGTGTTTGGTTGTAATCGTCTAATCGAAAATTTCAGACTTTGTGCTTTAGTTTGATTGTGTGTTTGGTTGTAATAGACAATTTGGTTGTAAAACTCATGTTTTTTTGAAGTATTTAACTTTAATTGAGTGTTTTTTGAATTATTTAACTTATTGCTCCATTTCTGGAAAGTGGGTTTAAACCCAGAAACCGTAAGTGTATGGGTTGAACCCAAGAAACCGAGAAACCGCCCAAACCAATATCAGAACCCGAGAAACCGAACCGACCAGAAACCGATGCCATTGGGTTCTGAAAACCAGAAACTGATCATTTATGGGTTGGGTTGGGTTGGGGTCCAAAACCGACCCAAACCGACCGATGCACAGCCCTAGGGCCCACGATGTGGTGGTATCTTGTATGTATATTGTTTTGTCTTAATATGACCATGACGTGGACGGGAGGTCACCCCTTCAAGGCTATCATTAACTTAGTTGACCGTTGACTTTTGACCAGTTTGTCCTTGGGTCAAACTTGAAGGATTTGGGTTTTTGATTGAGATTTGATCTTTGTTTGGTGTTAGTTGGTTCAAAGTTCTAATCAGTGCAAGGAGTTAAGTCTGTTGTTGTGCTTCTCCGGTTCCTCGACTCAGGTGAGTCTTCTCATTATGCCATATACCCCATGTTATATGATTTGTATGTTAGGATAGTGGTAGTGTTAGAGTACAAGTATACTAGTTTATTGATAAGTTTGTGTTGTATAGGACACTTGGTGCAATGTTGTGCTAGACTATCTTTGTGATTCTTGTATGAAAGGCTCTATGTGACATCCAAAATAAATCATGCAAATTTAAAACTTCTTAAAGCATTTAGAAACAAATAGTTATTTCAAATTTGTTTTCAAAATAGTTCTATATCAGAGTATCCAAGAAACAGAGTCATAAAATGTGAGAAGCTATACGATCACGCCTTTGCCTTCTCGCGATCATCTGAGGTACCTGAAACCAAAACTGAAATTGTAAGCCTGAAGCTTGGTGAGTTCCCCCAAAATACTGATACACAACAAATAGCACATATCTAAATAACAACATGTAATGGGTCCACATCTTTACAGACTGGATTACCATTGGGCCCAAAGTGTGAGTCTGGCTTGCCTTCCAGGCCCATAGCTCACATTTGGCTTGCCCCTGAGTCCATAGTATGAGTCTGGCAAGCCCTATCTGGCCCTCAACTCATATCTGGAATGCTCCTGAGTCCTCAGAATGACTCTGGCATGCTCTGCCCGACCCTCAGCTCATATCTGGCATACTCCAGGGTTTGTTGGCTACCGCATGCAGTAGTACAACCTCAAACCCATCCCACATAACATGTCGACATATAACATAACTAATGCACACACAGATAATCAGATATTAACATAGGCAGTCCTACATATCTACCAAACTAGCATAGCTACTAGCATGGATAACTAATTCATACTCAACATATCACCAACTACTAAAATATCATATCCAATGGGCCGACATTAGTGCCTTCAACCCTTTAGTATAGTGAGGATAACTCACATCGCAAGTAGTGTTGAACTGGACTGAAAGTCTCCGATCGCTGTCTCACCGAAAATCCCAACATATTCAAAATAACAAATACTAGGTCAACACATGGGATATCAATTTTGACTAAGGGTCCACATAGTCCATTTTTCCTTTTATCTATTTTGGACCAAGTCCCAATGCCAAATCCATGATCTTAAAAGTCCATAGATCCAAAACCCATTAATGGCCCAATTTTCGTAATTTGGCCCAACTCCCTAATTGGACCTTATTCTAGGATCCATGATCTAAACTGGCCTAAAACTCAATTATTTAGAAAGTCCATCAAGGCCCAAGTCCAATTAGTCCAAAGGCGGCCCAATCTCGAAGTCCAATTCGTCAAAAGCCCAATAGGTGGTGTATGTTGGGCGTACTCCTCTAGTATGCAGGGTGTACACTATCACACGTTGACTGAAAAATGGGGCCATTGACTCGATGTGCAGGGCGTACTGCTCTCTACCCGGTGCGTATGCGAGTCTGCACCAAAACGATCATAAGTGCTTAATGTCTTAAGCACTTAAGCCCAAACTATAGATCCATAGACAAAATGTGCCTAAGATTCATAAGGTCTTGAACTTTAAGACTTTGGATGTCTAGAAAGTTATTAATACATTGTCTTAATCCACTAAGACCTTCCTACTCCATGCATGAGACACATTTAGCTATTGGGACATTATTTTTATCACTTAGGACCCTTTCTAGGGTCTGGAAGGACAGCTTAACATGTCCAAAATGCATCATGCACAATATTGGGGTTTTTGGGACAAGAAAATTGCCAAGAAGCTAAACAAGACAAGATCTACTTAATATAATTGCCAAGGTAGAAGCTTTTTACCTCCTGGAGCTTCTAGAGGACAAGAAAACTTCAGATCTTCAAGCTTGCATTCCTACTCCAACTATTTGGTGCAACACCTTCTCCTTCAAGTGCTCAAAACACACACAAAATCAGAATCAAAACCCTGGATCAGCCATCTAGGAATTACAGAAGCGGAAAGGATATGGGACAAAATCTAGAAGATTAGAAGATAGAATTATAGCATAGTGGTCTGAGTGAATCCTAGGCAATGCTGTGACACTTAAGAGGGGCCACGAGTCGAGAACATTTGCAGTTACTAGGTATCTATCCAGCTTGTTGTGCTTGTTACCAGATCGATTCGCGTAGGTAAATCAACGCCCACCCATTTTGATTTCAATTAGCCCCGCCAAGTGAATGAACTTGTTGAAATGATATGCGTTGTTGGGGCAAAAAGTTGAGCCAAGCCTTTCTTATGGGAGTCTAATAACATTAAAGTCTCCAAATACAAACCAATGACATTCTAGATCAGAGCTCACAAGACTTAGGAGATTATTCCATAGCATCTTCTTCTTCACCGGTTCTTGAGGAGCATATACGTTTACGAAGCAACATGTCTTCCTTAGGCGATGCCACAGACCTTTTAGTTAGAAACCCTTCACCCTTAATTGATTCAGAAATATCAAAAAGCATAGGGTCCCAAAAGGATACGATTCCGCCAGATGCCCCAACGGGATCGACCACATCACACTATAAATTTGAAGATCCCCATATTTTTTTATCCAGGCGACCTTTAACTTCAAGGGATTTCGTTTCTTGAAGCCCAACCAAAAAGGAACGATTTTGAATTCTAGACTCCTTGACCCAATTTATTTTGACTTCACACCCAATACCACATATATTGTTAGAGAAGATATTCATTGATCCAGAATCACCACTCCACGTTTTTTGATCAGGGGTTTAAGTTAATCTGCACAGTCTTTAACCCTAAAACCCACTCTTTCCCCTACTTCAATCGTCTTGAGCACCTCCATGGATGTAGAGTTAGATTCTTCTTGAGTCGGCTGAGAGGGGGCATCCATGTTATTATGAGGCTTCGGAGGTTCTTGGAAATTCTCTTGGGGTTGACTTCCAACTGGGGCAATTGGCATCGTCAAAGAGGTTGGGGATAACTCTATAGGAGGGGATCTCTGATTTTGGGCCAGGATGGAATTAGAATTGCAAGGCTCATTATTAAGGTCCAGTAACTTGGTGGGACTGCGATGTCCATTGACAGAATTAACCCACTTAGAGCCCAATCTCATGTTGGAGTGGGGGATAGACTCCCACTTAGTATTACACACGACGATTCATCTCCAATCTTTTGTCCGTTGAGATTATCGTTCTTGAGATGCTCCTCGAGAAATGGGATCTTCTCACATGCTCGCGACTGCTCATATTCCCAGTCCTGACTCTAGTGGGAATACGCCGTCGACGAGACCGGCGAATTCAGGTCTTCCTCCGATTGTGCTGCGTAGTCGTCCTCTTGAACTCCATCATCCCACCAGTTCCCATTGGAATAATGAAAATCGTTAGATGCCAGAACAGGGATGAGCTTTATAGACTCAAAAATGTCTTCCATAACATTGATCTCAAAACGGATTCCATCAACAAAGACTGTAATAGAGAAGTTGATTAGTCCATGATGGGAGGTGAGAATACCTACTCGCCTAAAGGCTAGGTTTGGAGAGTCTGTTGGGCATTCTTCCGGAATAACCACTGATCCCCACATCTTGGTGATAGAGATAAAAGCTTCCTCACACCATGCATGTTGTGGCACCCATTGAATAATTATGGAGGCTATTCTCTCATTATAATTGCACTCCATAGACTAGTTTGTGAGGGATTTGAACCATGGCCTCCAGATGGCTTCCCCGTTTGAGAAAAAGTCATTTTTCTCTTCTACACTTTCGAAATCCAGTAACATATTCGTGCCGCCTATACCTCAGTTGGATTTTAGGGCAACCTTCAAGTTTCAGAAATGCCTTGACGTTCATAAGGGACTGAAAGTTTTCAGTTTCTCCAACCAGCGTGCTATTCATGCATTCCTTCGACCCTTCTGTAGAGATCATTATGATGCATTTCTCATCTGTCGTGGTGTTAATTTATGCCTTTGGGCCATCAGTCCTCGCCATATATTGGCTAGGAGGAGGTCCTTTCACTGCGTCAGCATAAGACCTACCTTTCTAATGCTCAGCTCTCGTATGGAAAGGTGTAAGGTTATATGGTGTCCTTGGTTTACCTTTTAGATGAGGGTTAATATTCCTGGGATCTTGACCTTTTATATCAAACTTGGCTACATTAACTCTAATCTTTTTGGCACCGATGAGGATCTCATTCAGGCGCGTTTCAAAGGCTCTTATGTCTCGGACCATGAGGAAGCAAACGAACCCAAATCTTCTATTGAGTCGGTTCAGCTTTCTGGCAACATACACGTCCACCACAGCCCCATACATGTTGAAAGTCTTCCACAACGCCGCTTCATTCCAGTCTGAAGGAAAATCTTGGACGCAATAAGTAACTGCCCTCCTGTTGACGTCGTAATCCTTCCCATAGCTTTTCTCGTGGTTCTTCTTCCGGCGGACTTGCTGCCAGTCATCGAGTCTCTCCATCTCCCTTTCTTGCAAGATAGTCCTTCAAAAATCAACTATATATATATATATATATATATATATATATATATATATATATATATATATATATATACATATATATATATATATATATATATATATATATATATATATATATATATATATATAGTATTTACATGATAACATGGGTTAATGAGGATGAAAAGTCACTTCAACTTGACAACAAACTCCATAACATCTCCACTGGCGATGGGACAATCTCTTTTTGTTGCACCCGAATCAAATCCATATTCGAACTCCTGACAAACATTGATTGCTTGGTAGTCTAAAAGAATACTGTCATTTATATGATCAATGGTTTAACACCCAAATACAACTACAATGCATCATTGATTCGACATAGGTCCCAACTCCTTACCCTGTTGGAGTCATGTTCAATGCTTTCGAAGAAAAAAATGATATAAGTAGATTCACAATATATAGTTATATACATATTATGAACATTAACACCCACTTACAAAACCATAAGGAAAATAATCACAGTTAAGGAAGATGGCAAGACCTCCAGTCGAACTGGGGGAATTGATGCTAACAACCACTAACAAATAATATACAATAATTAACACCGAAAACTTCGATCAGTGGCCATCAGACATTCCAACCACATCAGTGCTCTCCATTTTCATGTACTAGGAGAAATGTCAGCTAGCCTTGGGGCACTTGGTGTCCATACTTAATGGGATTTATTTCAACAACAAAGTTAGGCCCGAACCACTTTACCTTTGTTTAGTGTATGTCCGCAATAACATTATAGTCCATCAACAACTTGTCAAGCTCATTTTTCCATCCTTACTCCTCTTTGGAATTGGTGTAGTCCAAAACAACACCCTCAACCAAAATAGTGTTCTTCTTCCGTCGTTATACATTATGAGCCTTCATGATCAGGGTAAAAACGGATGGTTCATGTACATCGGTAATACCTCGCACATCCACTTTGATATTGGTATACTTTCTTTCTTTCATAATAAGATTCATTTTCCTTTGGTTTCAATTAATTATGATTCTTAGATTTATTTTATATGATCTAGACACTCCTTATGCCTAAAAGTTACCAATTCTTACACCTACACAATATCCTCATGACTTGTAACATAATTAAAAACCTTATATAATTTCTTCATTTAAATCACACTAATAAATGTTATATCACTTTTGATGATTTTAGGTTTTCTATAAGCAACTATCCGACTCACCAAATCCTTATTTGATGTGACAGCTCCGGTGACCTTTATCCAATCACCTCCCCCACTCTACAAGATCTCGTGTATCCTATTTTGTCTATTTGGAAGCAAGAACTCAATCATCCCATTAATCAAGTTCTCAAATGCTACAGTCGCCTTGTTCACTTTTTTTCTAATAATAAGAAGTCTATATATTATTTATTGCCAAGCTTGTAAAATATGCAAAATTATTAGGCTTCACTTTCAGTTGTTTGTTTGATTCAGTTGTTTCTTATCCTTTTGATATTGTTTACTCAGATATTTGGACCTCTCAAAATTCTAGATATTGTAACTTTAAATATTATTTCATTTCCTTAATCACTTTACTCATTTTTTTGGGTTTACTATATACAACACAAATATGATGTGCTTTCTAAATTCAGACAATTTCATAAGTATGTCGAAACACAATTTGGTTGCAACATAAATTCATTCCAATGTGGGAATAGGCATCAATATGACAACATATTTTCATTACTACTTTCCACTCACAAGGTACAATTATATTTTTTTGTATCCCCACGCCTCACCTCAAAATCGTATATTTGAAAGTATGATTCACAGCATTAGAATCTTAATCTCCTACACCCACCTCCCCCACTTTTGGGTTGAGTCCATTCACATGACAACTACCTACTGCAACACCCTACCCTCTTCCACAATAAACAACTATATATCTTCGGGTGCCTACGATACCCACATGTCATCACCCCTCAAATTAACCCCTAGCACAACTTTGTGTATTTTCCTTAGGTATCCGTTCAATCATCACAATATCAACCAACAAAATAATCATATCTCGGCATGTCTTGTTCAATGATTCCATTCTTCCTTTTGGGTCTATGACTCATCCTCTATATACTTATACAAATTATTATACGATTTATTTCCTATATATTGTTCCCTTATCGAGTCTCCACCCTCATAAACACCGCTAATATTGGTCCCTCCCACATCCAAATCCTTGGTTTCCTCAATGCAGAACCAACAACCCGTCCCCTCACTCACTACTAAGCTCGTCTAGTAGCAAAAAAAGTATCAAAAACCCAACAAGACTACAATGAGATGTTATGTCTGGGTATTAAGCCGACTACTATATACATGGTTCTTAGCCTTATAGTCTTTCATCGTTGGCTTATACATCAACATGATGTCAAGAACAACTTTATTCACGATCACTTATAGGAAATTAAATTTATGCACCAGATACCATAATTATGTGATATTTAGTTTTCTAACCATATGTGCCACCTGTGAAGGTCCTTATATGGCATAAACAGCCCTCTTGGTTCTGGTACCAACGCTTTGCTACTTTTGTAATGCGCATCGGTTTTGCTACAATCACTCAGATTCTTTTCTATGTGTGTATGGTTATGTCTATGCCATTGCTCAACCAAAGTTAGTACGCCACCGATATAACAAATCATGTTGGGATTCTTCATTATAGGCTTTGCCTCACACTTAATAAAATAGAGTCTAAATTAGATGGAGCTGACCCACCTGTGTCTGACCCTACTAAGTACCACAATATCGCATGCGCTCATTACTTCATTAGCACCTCACTTTCAATATACCAAATCTTATATATGTTGTCCAACAGATCTTCATGTTCATACATGATCCCCATAAGGCTCACCTTGGAGAGCAAAATCATACTCTTATATAAGGCTTACAGACTCCAAATTCATGCTTTCGCCTCCTCGGATCTCATTGCCTATTATGATGAAGATTGTAACGGATGCCTCACCACCAAATGATCAACCTCTGGGTATTGTGTATTCCTTAATCAGACATTTTTTCATGGTTCTCTAAATGTAATGTTATTATTTCATGCTCTAGCGATGAGGTAGAATATCATGGTGTTGCCAACGACGTTTACGATACTTGTATAATTTCTTTTGTGAGTTGCATTCATACCCCCCCCCCCCTAAAGAAATGATTCTCTAATGTGACAATTTTAGTATTGTCTACATGTCCTCCAATCTAGTGTGACACCAACACACCAAACATATCAAGATAGACATCTATTTCATCAGAAATCAGGTTGCTTGTTGGTGATTTTGATCATCAATGTTATTTAAGTGTAATGAGATTACTTTGTGTTGACCAAAAATGATCTTGATAAATATTAAACAAGTAAGGAAGGTGTGGAATACACACTTGTTTAAGTTTGATCAAGTTTCAAAGTACACTGTCATTTAGGGGCGAAGCCCCTGAACGAACGGGGGTCCGGGGGCAGCGCCCCTGGGAGCGGGGTCCAAGGGGCGGCAGCCCCTGGCGGGCTCCAAGGGGCAGAGCCCCTGGCTGGGATCGAGCTGACCATTGGTTTGACCCTTATCCATATATCCGTTTTATATAGGGTATGTTACTATATTAAAAAAAATGCATCAGAAATTTTTTTTATATAGGGTATGTTACTATATTAAAAAAATGCATCAGAAAATTGATTTTCCAGATAATTGACCATTGGTTTGACCCTTATCCATATATCCGTTTTATGACAGTTTTTATGGTTTTATGACAGTTTAAAACTGTCATATGACAGTTTTCAGACAAAGTTGTTAAAAGTTGGTTTTGGTCTCATTTTCTAGTACATACGAAAATATCATCAAACATTCTTTGTTCTTGTCTCTCTGAGTCTTATCCAATTGAATATTTGGGAGTACCACCAAATACTTCGATTTGAAAGTGATAATCACAATTCTCAGAATTTCCAAGCCTTTCTAAACCCAAATTTCTAACATAAATCGAAGTAATTTGTGATCATGGCAAGTGGCGATTCTGTGAAGGATATGACAAGCAAGTTTAACAAATTGAACAAGTTTGAAGGACAAGATTTTCGTAGATGGCAGAAGAAGATGCACTTTCTCCTTACCACTCTGAAAGTGGTATATGTTCTGAGTACACCCATGCCAGTCTTACCAGAATCTGTTGAAGATGAACCTTTGGAGGCAACAAGAAGGAGATCAAAGTGGGAAAATGATGATTACATATGTCGTGGTCATATTCTCAATGGTATGTCTGACTCTCTTTTTGATATCTATCAAAATTTCGAATCTGCAAAAGAACTGTGGGATTCTCTTGAATCCAAATACATGGCAGAAGATGCTTCTAGCAAGAAGTTTCTTGTCAGTAACTTTATGGGTTACAAAATGATTGACTCTAGGCCTGTTATGGAACAATTCCATGAAATGTTAAGGATCCTGGGACAGTTTGCTCAACACAATCTGAAAATGGATGAAGCCATTTCTGTGGCTGTAATTATTGACAAACTGCCCCCTTCCTGGAAGGATTTTAAACACAATCTGAAACATAACAAAGAGGAATTAACTTTGACTCAACTTGGAAGCCATTTACGGATTGAAGAGTCCTTAAGGACTCAAGAACTTGATAACAATCCCAAAGGCAAGAACCAAGTTGGTTCCTCTTCTGTGAACATGGTGGATGGAGAAGGATCAAAGAATCAAAAGAAGTCTAATGGAAAAAGGAAGTTTAAAGGAAAGGATGAAAAGTCTTCCAACAAGAAGGCTAAAGTGGTGTGTTGGAATTGTAACAAACCGGGTCACTTCAAGAAAGATTGTCGTTTACGTAAAGTGAACAAGGATGGTGCAGGACCAAGTGGATCCAAGGATCCAGAGAAGCAACAAGGTCAGATTTCTGTATTCATGCAGAATTCTAAATATATTCAGAATTATATTTCTGTGATTTCTGAAGCATTTTATGTGCAGGATGATAATG